ACTTAAATCTGGGCCTGGAAATCCATGTGGTGTAAAAGCTTCAGGTGTTAAGAGCAACATGAGGAATGATTTAGACTACACTGAAGGTATGTCCAGCTGTGTGCCATCTTTGGCTCACAAAATCAAACCTATGACTATGCAAACAGTGGAAAATAACAGAATAACAGAATTAGAAGGGACCTTAGAGGTCTTCTAGTCCAGCCTCCTGCTCAAGCAGGAATCCCTATATCATTTCAGACAAATGGTTGTCCAGTCTCTTCTTAAAAATGTCCAATGTTGTAGCACTGGAGGAAGTTGTTCTCACTGATAAGATATTTCTTCTTAGTTCTAGTTTGCTTCTCTCCTTGATTAATTTCCATCGATTGCTTCTTCTCCTGCCCTCAGGTGCTTTGGAGAATAGGCTGACCCTCTCTTTTTTGTGGGAGCCCCCCAGATATTGGAACACTTCTATCATGTCATCCCTAGTCCTTCTCTTCATTAAACTAGACATACCCAATTCCTGCAATCATTCTTCATATGTTTTAGCCTCCAGTCCCCTAATCATCTTTGTTGCTCTTCTCTGTATTCTTTCTAGAGTCTCAACATCTTTTTATATCATGGTGACCAAAACTGGATACAATGTTACAAGTGTAGTCTTACCAAGATGTAATATATAAAGGTGTAATAACACTTCACGTGATCTTATGAATATAGAATCAATAAAAACAAATCAGCCTAGGTCTGAATAAACTCTGATCACCAGAACATGTGAGACCTACAGGAGTCCCTAGAAGCAAAGTTCAGGTGTAACAAACAACCATCTGAACAGCAACTGTTTTCCAGAAGAGGAAACTGGTTAATTGGAGAAATAATAATTTGTGGGATCCTTGGTGCTCGGTGGTTTTTTTGCTGGTGTTTCATTACCAACATCATCAGTGCTCAATGCATATTTGCACTGATGATGTTATCTAGTTTGGTAATGGAACCTCTGCAAGAAAACCACCCACCTCAGAGAGTACCAACGAGTCCACAGTTCAACCCTGAGCAACAGATATTCTCTTCTATCCCTAAATTAGAATTTGTCATTCTATTTATTGATCCCTCTGATAGTAACCTCCTGTGCAGATAGGTTGGGCTCTGGGAGAGTGATGGCTCCAGAGAGTTTTGTGGTCAACTGGACATGGATTTAAACTTGGTTCACTTTTAGCCATCTATGATAGGTGAGATAAAAAATGTAATTGGATGTAAGGAGCCAGGATTACTGTAAATTTAACAGGTTCCAGTCAAGAGGAGTCAGTCTCTTCTTCCTTTTCTTTCTCACACACAAACCCAGTATGGTACCATGTCTGGCTAAAAATACAGCTCAGGCAGCCAGAAACATAAGGACAATCCAAGGGTGTCCAAAGACACCTGCCAATCTTCCTGGGTTTCTAAACAGATGAAGCTTTTCTTTAGATTCGCTCAGAGAGTCCCCTAACTGGAAAAGGAGATGAATAAGAGCTGGAATGATTCATAGCAGAGAAAGTTATACTCTATATCAGGGGTCTTCAAACTTGGCCCTTTTATGACTTATGGACTTCAACTCCCAGAATTCCTCAGCCAGTGTGCCTGGCTGAGGAATTCTGGGAGTTGAAGTCCACAAGTCATAAAAGGGTCAGGTTTGAAGACCCCTGCTCTATATATTCAAAGCATTTCTAGCTCTTGTTTTAGCTGAAAGCAGATTCTTGAGACACCTAAAGTAGAAGCAATTAAGTGGATGGGGAGGTTTCTGCTTCCCAACCCAAATTAAACAATACAAAAAAGGTTTATGACAGGAATTAAAAAAGAAGAGTCATTCACTAAGTTGAAAAGGATAAGCCCTCATCTCACATGGTTCTCCTTTTCTTGAGGTCATCCTCTAGAAATGTTTGAAAGGCTAGCTTTATCCTTCTGGATGAATGTTCCTTTTTTCTTTTTTTCCTTTCTTCTCACCTGTTATTTTCTATAGTCACTGCTGAGGCATTAGCAGCACAGAAAAAAAAAACCTCCTGCTTTTTACATCACAAACGTTAGGAAATTTACAGAAATTTCTTTCTTTTTTTTTTAGTTTAAAATTTACAGAAGATTCAACTGATATTTTTCAAAGACCCAGGTTGTAGCCCCAAAAGAGGAAGGATCTACTTTATGTAATGAAAAGATCCCAAAATTAAAACTTCATCATAAATTGGCCTATGAAGGAAGAAGAGAAGGAGGAGCAGGAGCAGGAGAAAGAGAGAGGGTGGAGAAAGAGGAGAGAAAGAGGAGGATAAATTTGATATTCTGGTGGACCTTCAGATATGGTTGAACTTTGATTGCCACCACTCCAGTATCCAATGATGATTAGACAAACATAATAGGACCTAAAAAGCCTCACAGTTCCTATAAGTCAGGGGTCTTCAAACTTGGCCCTTTAATGACTTGTGGACTTCAACTTGGCTGAGGAATTCTGGGAGTTGAAGTCCATAAGTCATAAAAGGGCCAAGTTTGAAAACCCCTGCTATAGGTGGAAACAGAAAATATTAGCACGGACAAGAAGAACAAAGAAGTCAGCCTACGTTTACCATTAAGATCTCTTGATAGTAAAGCATTCATGTCTACTAATCAGCAGTGTAATTTCATTTAGGTAAGAATTTATTTCAAAAGTGTTGAGTGAATCCTCGTGGTTTTTCTTTGACATACATCAAAGAACCTGCATTCTTTAGTAAGATGGGCAGCTAAATAAATACTGTCAGTGTTCTGGATCTTTTGCTTCCCAGCCCCTCTGTGAAGCTTGACATACAAACCCAGTTCAGATGTTCATTGCCATAATACCGAATTTGCTCATCCAGATACAATGTCAAAGAATTTCATTCTTTCCAAGTACATCACATTAGATTTTCATTGGCAGGACCAGATGCTTTCATGTTGGCATCAGCCTGGTGTCTCTCTTGGCTGCCCTACTGAAGGTGCTGGATGCAACTTCAAAAAATGAAAGTTCATTTTCTGTACGTTCTAAGTGGTCCCTAGTGGATGGCTGAGCCAAAAACATCCTTTTCCCAGCCATAATGAGCAGCATTTCCATAAACCACATTAGAACAAATTGTTTCAGAAATATGTTGAGGGAATAACAGAGAGAAAAGACAAGAAGATCCACACAGCCCAGTCGAAATGTTCAATGTCCGTTAGAGCTTCACGCTTTGCGAAGGTGCTTAAGATAAAAAAAATTACCCCAACATGTTTTCAGCTTAGCATTATTCTCCATGTTTCTCCATGGTTGTTTCATATTTAAAGAACAACAAAATATTGTGTTTTGTCAGCCAAGGACAATAATAGTTTAATAGTAATTTATTTTCCATTGCTACTGATAATACAACCAATCAACACGTTAAGTGGTGCCAACATTGGCATGTTGCTAAATAAATCTCTGGGCTTTGCGCTGCGAATACATCTTTCAAAGATAAGTCAACAAGAGCAATCAGAGCAGAAAATTAGAATTTGGTATGTTAGAATTAAAATACAGCTAAACTAAAGTTTTAATTGGGGTGATCTGAAAGGGCACTTGATGTAATGATCTCTTTCATTTGTTACTAATTGTTTGTTCCTGATGAAGAAGAAACATGTACATGAATGTGCTGTTTGAAAAAAGATGGCAGTTGCCATAGCAGCTCGTTTCTATGGTTCAAAAAGGAGGGATCACCCAAATGAAAAGAAGGTCTGCTTGTGAATTTTAACTTCTTTCCTGACACCTCACCACAAGAGATGGGTTTTGTTGGGGCTGTAATACTACATTGTTTAAAAATCTGACCTCATGTTTGAACTGTAGGAATACTCTACTGCATTCAGCATTGTCCTCCATTTGAGACAGGAGAAACCCTATTTTTTATGTTCTACTGGAGGCAGAAACTCCCACCCCCATCTACCGTTTGCCAAAGAAGGCAAAATTGCCCAGTTGGTCACTGGTAAAGTGGACCAAAACCAGACATGCACCTATGTCACAGAACTAAATTTCTTTTTGCACCATTGATCTTGACTTGGTTACACTGGGCCAGCACATCTGATGACTGTCTCAGGTACATTCTTCTCAGAAAATGACACAGTTTGGTGAGTTACTTTGTCCACTGATGTTCTCTAGGTTCGATACAGCAAAGGGAAGCTTTTACTTCACACCCGGTTGCTTAATCAAAGGCTGTACTTTGTCATGCTTTGCGATCACATTCTTCATTTCTGAATTCTGACTTTCAGAAAATGTGCTGCAAGTTTTGTAAAAAAAGGAAAAGGCCCCTACTGAAGCCACCGTGAAATGGTTAATCAGCAATCAGTCCCACCTCTACATAATACTGAAACTAGTTTAGATTTAAATTATACCAACAAAGAAGTGTGGGGATTTAGTCTTTGCAAGCCTCTGAATTGTATTTCTTGGGGAAGATGTGAGAAGTTGCGAAATGGAGGTGGGTTTTGCTTGCTGTTAGCTCTTGTCAATGCTATACCTTCTAGGTATAGTATAAAGATGTGATTCTTCCCTGGTTTGGATCTCTACTGATGTCATGCCTTCTACATAATTAAGTGTCCTTTTTAAAGTAGAGCATAATTCATCACCTGCTTCCTCTTTCAAATAATCTTTATTTTATAGACGCAGAGCAGTAAACCTGAGCTGAACTCATCCATAATTCAATCAAACAGGTTCATCTACACATGAGAATTCCAGAGCACATAAAGACTTCTAGAATGTCACTTATCCTTTTCCTTTCAAGACTTGATCAAGTCCATCAAACCAAAGTCCCATCGAAACCAGCATGAAGTCACGATTAACACCATGGTTAATTTAAGCAAGGAGAGTTAGTTTGGACCGGCTGTAACTCTTAATCTTTCGATTATTATAGTTGACGAAAGCAGAGGTCTTCTACACCCCTTCAAGACTGTGACAGAGTGACAAGCGACTGTGAAAATGGTTCATAAATAATGTGAATCAATTCCATTGTTTCCTAGTTCAAAGGCTGATTGTGTTCACCATTCTCTTCCATCAGGGGCTCTTAAAAGTTGCCATAGATAATGCGCGGGCTCAAGAGAAGCAGGTGCAGCTCGAAAAGACGGAACTCAAAATGGAACTCTTCAGGGAACGAGAACTGAGAGAAACACTTGAAAAACAGTTAGCGGTGGAGCAGAAGAACAGAGGTAACAAAAAGAAAATAATGACCTTGTCTATTACCCTAGTTTTACCAAGCTGTCTCAAAACATCAAGGTACAATCTCACCTAGTTTCTATACTCAAGAGCGTTTATGATAGTATTAGGTGGGGTATCACATTATTTTTTTCTTATCTGGATTGAAAGAATACCAACAAGAATAGATAACAAGTCCTAATATCCCTGTGGAGAGCAAAGTTCCAAGAAGCTCTTTAGCTCTACTTTTCAACAATTATGAGTCTCAACACCAAAGAGTTTCCTTACTCCTTAGTGTACCACCATTATTCTCTGTTTCATAGTCTCCTTTCCACCACAACCCATCCCATATATGAAAAACTAAAAAAAATATGAGAGTTGTTTAAAAATATATGAATGTATATAAATGAGCAACACTGTGAATGTCACAGTGATATGAAGCCACACAACAAATTCCATTCAGTCAGAACTGAAGGAGCTTCTTGGATGAGAAGCGAAAAACACTTTTGAGATAACCATGATCCAGATGACTGCAAATCTCCAGGCAATCACATCTACTACTTTATGGAAGGAATGGAAGAGACTGAAAGTAGCGAAGAACAAGCTGTCCCAAATGTGTTTTTTTAAAAGGCAACTGAACTTTCTTGTTTTTTTCCTTGACATTTCACTTCTCATTCAAGAAGCTTCTTCAGTTCTGACTGAAGAACAGATCGTTTAGCTGTGAGATCTCTGGAGAACAAACTGGAAGGGGTTGATTATTTGCTCTATGGGTATGCAGAGTTTTGAAGTTTATTGTGTTGTCATGCACAATATTTACGAGGCTGCTGATTTCTTTCTTTTTCCAAATCTTCATTTCTGTCTTTCTAAAGTGCTTTCAAGTACAGGAGAGGATTGTGATATCTGGGTGTAGTTACTGAGTTCCACGATCCCAACTTTGACCAGATGTTATGGTAACCCACTAGGACAGTGATGGCGAACCTATGGCATGTGTGCCAGAGGTGGCATTCAGAGCCCTCTCTGTGGGCACACCTGCCACCGCCACCAGCTTACGCAGGTCCATTAGGCCACCGCTGGCACCCGTAGCAGCAGCCCCACCCAGCACAAAGGAGGTGAAGCAGCTGGCTAGCAAGCTCGAGTAGAGGTGGTAGAGCATGCCCCCACGCGCTCACTGGCCTCTGTGTGCGGGGGCTGATGGTGTCAGGCAGCAGCCGCCCCTGCCTCGCCTTGCCCCACAGCAATGGCACCCCCGCCCTACCCCCTGCCTCACCCCGCAGGACGAGCCTCCTACCCACCACCCCACCTACCAGAGACCCCCCTGGATCTCCCCCAATCCTGCCCAGCCACCACAGGCATCCCCCCATGAGCAACATCAAGGTGGCCACGCCCACTCAGTCTGCCATCACCACTCAGCTACTCCCACCTAGTGGGCCACACCCCCACCCACCCCTAAGGGCACCACAATGCTGATGCAGCCCTGGCACCTTTCGATAAACAAGTGGGTTTTGGGTTGCGGTTTGGGCACTCGGTCTCTAAAAGGTTCACCATCACTGCACTAGGAAGTAGCAGAGATGAACCATGCGGCGGTTCATTTTTGTGCAGAACACTGCAAAAAAACTGCCCTTAGAATTGATCTCTGCTCGCTGCGTAAACCCAGATGCATAAATGGAAAACGGCATGCTAAATGTTGCCACGAGGCCTAAAATGAATAAAATGTGAAAGCCAAGGTCTTGTAGTTAAAACTCGAATGGATTTTTTTTTCCACAACAGCAATAATTCAGAAAAGGTTAAAGAAGGAAAAGAAGGCAAAGAGGAAATTGCAGGAAGCACTTGAATTTGAAACAAAGCGGCGAGAACAAGCTGAACAGGCACTAAAGCAAGCGGCTTCCACCGATAACCTCAGGGTCCTAAATGGTAAGACGATGACCTTGTTCTCCATCTGGCTGATGTTGGGTTCAAGTGGTTTTATTGAAAGAATCACAACTGCTTTAAGTGCAGGGTAGAAAAACAAATCAAGATACTTCCTTTTCTTTTGCTGATTGGATGTTTATATCTAAAGCGGAAGGTTTTTAAGAAGAGATTGGCCAATTATTTTTCTGAATGGTATAGGGTTTCATTCTTGAGCAGGGGGTTGCACTAGAACCGGGGTTGCCAACCCCTGGTCCGTGGACCGATACCAGGCTGCGGCATGCCAGCAACCGGTCTGCACAAACAAGCGAAGCCCCATCTTTGGGATGCAGGCAGCACACAAAACCACGTACTCTCCGGTCCGCAGAAAAACCTTTCTCCACAAAAGGTTGGGGACCTCTGGATTAGAAGACTTCCAAGGTCCCTTCCTATTATTCTGTTAAAAGGAAGAAGTCTAAAAAAATTAGAGTTGTATTAAATTATCAGCTAGGCCATGCCAGCCCTTTCTCCCTGCTCTCATGTTTTCTTCTTTTCAATCTTGCTCATCACAAAATTACGGTGCTGCCCCCCTTTTTTTTGTTCAACATTCAACACGGAGGCAAAGGTTGATTGTACAGTGATTCAGAAGTGGCAACAGGTTGTAAAAAGAGCCCTTTAAGATCCGAGTGAAATATGTGTCAGCTCTATCTTTCTGTGCTTTTAGATTCTCTGACCCCAGAGATAGAAGCTGACCGCAGCGGGGGCCGAACAGATGCTGAGAGGGCAATACAAGGTAGGAATTTTCAAAAGGCCATAAATCTACATTGCACTATATTAGTTTTTCCTCTACTTTAGCCTGCTATTCAAGCATGCAACCTGCCATCTGGGCCACATCAAAACAAGTTCATTCAAGGTCAGCTTCATCTGGACTTTTTTTTTCTTTTTCAGAAGAGAAAATTCATTTTGTGTGATAGATTTCCTTTACATTAGCAGGTTATTCCAGTTTATATATATAATGCAATTAGAAGAACAATGAATCAGGGACGATGAAGAATTTCGTTCAGCATGGTAAACACAAATGCATTTTTAGGCTGTCCAAACACACATTTTTTAGATTAAACTAGATAATTTTCAAAACTGGAATGCTTCATAGTTTTCCAGTTTTTGAAACAAGCGGAGGAAACTAGAACACTCTGAATTTAACTCCTTAACTGTAGATTTCACCATCATTACAGTTATTTATATTTTAATATATCGGTACAAAGAAAGCAAAAACTGGACAAGTAGCTCAAATATTCTAAAAAATTCTATTCATCTTGGGCCTCTTTATCCCTGGGCTAAGGATGTTAATATGAATAATAAATAACACACACACAAAAAAAAAACATACAAAGCATTTATTTTCAATTTAAAAGTAAGGTAAATTCTTCAAAGACAACCTACTGAATAATGATTAACCAGAGATGTCTTTTCATTTGCATTTTAAAGTCAATCATTTACTGTCTTTTTGTACTAAACTTTAGTTTATAATTCTTGTGAGGTATCGTGGTTGCTCTGGTAGCTTAGGGAAATTTTGAGAAAGATAATAAGCCACACAGTGATTAAACATGCATTTTATCAGGTTCGTCTGATTCACCAGTTGCGACCTTTTCTGGACCGGGACGCCCTACGCACGGTCACTCATGCTCTTGTCACCTCCCGCCTGGACTACTGCAATGCTCTCTACATGGGGCTCCCCTTGAGGAGCACCCGGAGGCTCCAGCTAGTCCAAAATGCGGCCGCGTGGGCGGCGTTGGGAGGGACTCGTCGCTCCCATATAACACCGCTGTTGCGCGAGCTGCATTGGCTGCCTGTGGCCTTCCGGGTGCGCTTCAAGGTGTTGACCATCATCTTTAAAGCGCTCCATGGCATCAGACCCGGATACCTTCGAGACCGCCTCCTGCCGCAGATTACCCCCCATCGACCTGTACGCTCCCACAGAGTGGGTCTCCTCAGGGTGCCGTCTGCCAGACAGTGCCGGCTGGCGACCCCAAGGGGGAGGGCCTTCTCTGTGGGAGCTCCCACCCTCTGGAATGAACTGCCCCCAGAGATCAGGGTGATCCCTGATCTCCCTTCCTTCCGCCGTGCCCTTAAGACATGGTTATTCCAGCTTGCAGGACTGGCCTAGGGGAAATTTTTAGAGGGGGTTTTAATTATATTTTAATTAGATCACAGTTAAATATTTCCTTTTTAATTAATTTTTAAACTTGTAATGTTATTTATGTATTTTTACTCGATTGTTAGCCGCCCTGAGTCCGCAAGGAGAAGGGCGGGATATAAATTTAATAAAATAAATAAATAAATAAATAAATAAATAAATAAATAAATAAATAAAATAAATAATAATAATAATACTAATAAAAAAAACAACAGATAGTTTGTCTCTTCTTCACACATCATATTGGAGAATTGGCCATGAATTATTTTGCCAGGTGGGATCTCAATGACACCAGCCAGAAAATGGTAGCTGGTTTGATGACTCATCATTGTTTCTCATATATTAGTTCTGTATAAATCACCTTGCTCTGAGCGAGTGAGATTAACTTAATTTAACATTCTGCCTATCGGCATCTCAATTTCATTTAATTTGCCCACCAGATTGTCCAATTCATCTTTTTTTATGTTGTTGTTGTTAACCAACAACCCAGCAGGCATATATTTCTGGAAGACATATGCAGAGGTGACTGAGTTTTTGCCTGTCCGGATATTCTAGGCCAGGGGTAGGTAACCTTGGCTCTTTTATGACTCGTGGACTTCAATTCCCAGAATTCCTGAGCCAGCCATGCTGAGGGGAAAGGAAGAGGTTTCCAAGCTGAGCCATGCTGGCTCAGGAATTCTGGGAGTTGAAGTCCACGAGTCATGAAGGGGCCTAGGCCTAGGCCAGAAGTAGGCAACCTTGGCTTTTTTATGACTCATGGACTTCAACTCCCAGAATTCCTGAGCCAGTCATGCTGAGGGGACAGGGAGAGGTTTCCAAGCTGAGCCATGCTTGGATGGGGAGGAATAGACTCAGAGGTTTCCAAGCTGAGCCATGCTTGGATGGGGAGGAATAGACTCAGACTCAACCCTTCCAAGACCGAGTGGCTGTGGTTGCCGGCGCCTCAGCATAGTCAGCTGACCCCATCGCTGTCTATAGGTGGCGAAATTTTGGCCCCCTCAGAGAGGGCGCGCAACTTGGGTGTCCTCCTGGATCCACGGCTGACACTGGAAGATCATTTGTCGGCCGTGACCAGGGGGGCGTTTTATCAGGTTCGCCTGATCCACCAGTTGCGGCCTTTTCTGGACCGGGACGCTCTGCGCACAGTCACTCAGGCTCTCGTCACCTCCCGCCTGGACTACTGTAATGCTCTATACATGGGGCTCCCTGTGGGGAGCATCCGGAGACTTCAACTGGTCCAGAATGCGGCCGCGCGGGCGGTGTTGGGAGGGACTCGTCGCTCCCACGTAACACCGCTGCTGCGCGAGCTGCACTNCCCACCCTCTGGAACGAACTACCCCCCGAGATCCGGACGATTCCGGACCTCCTATCTTTTCGCCGCGCCCTCAAGACATGGCTTTTTCAACAAGCGGGTCTGGCCTAGGGAGAATTTTAAATAGGGACAATTTTAATTCGAATCTTAATAACTATACAGCGACAAATATTTGGTTTTTAATTGGTTTTATGGGGGATGGTGTTTGTGTGTTTTAATATGCTGTAAGCCGCCCTGAGTCCTATAGGGAGAAGGGCGGCATATAAGTTTATGTAAATAAATAAATAAATAAATAAATGCTGGCTCAGGAATTCTGGGAGTTGAAGTCCACGAGTCATAAAAGAGCCAAGGTTGCCTACCCCTGGTCTAGGAGAAAGTAGGAATATTCAAACAATGTTAACTCTGAAGGTTCGTTCTCCAAGCTTGTTGGTTGGTTACCAAATGTTTCATTACCAGGCTAGGTAACATCTTCAGGGACATGCTGAAGATGTTACCTAGCCTGGTAACAAAACATTCAAAAACCAACCCACAAGTTCGGGGAACGAACCTTCACCCTCATCCTGTACCTGAGCTACAGATATTCGCCATTATTGCAAATGTTAACTCTGTTTTTAAGGTTAATTATGCAGTCCCATCCCATACAAAATACACGCGGTAGGATGGAATGAGCTTTGATCTAGAACAGGATAGACCTAGATTCATTGAGTTGTAAAACTTCTCTGAGCTTGGTTTTTTATTGCCCACCTAGGTAACATCTGAAGGTAACAACTGCAAATGAAAAAAACAAGCTCAAAGAACTTGTACAACCCAGAGCTACCTACATATTCTACAGACCAGGTTCATATCATCTTCTGGCCCCCTGGAATTTTGAATCAGTCATACCTCAGTCTACTCTCCTGCTTAAATGATGTATGATTAAGATGTTTTTAATCTACCCTTACTTATTGAGACCAAACCTGATAACCAAGTATAACAAAGGTGAACATAATTGAGCATCCTAGAGGAAAAGAAGATATAAAAGTAAGAAATAAGTGACTTATCCTGCATAAGAGGGATTTATGGTGTCCGCAGAGTTCGATGCTGGTTGTATAACGAGGCCATCAAATTCTCCATCCTTCTCTTTTGACATTAGCAAGATGATGATCATCTAGGAGGTTAAACAGCTTACATGTCATAAATATATTCACCATGGAGGTAATGAAACATAAATGTTATTCCTCTTGGCTGTACATAAATCAGAAGGTGATAGGACAGCTGTCTATTTACAAAGAGTCATTAATCTTTTGATTCTGAAAAATTGAATGTGTTAGGAAAGCTTGTCAAAGTGAAGGAAGAGCATTTCATGAGTAGAATGGGGAGGTTTCACAAGAGAAGAAAGAGTCCTGCAAATAGACTGTAGCACCTCCTGCATTAAACATTTTAGTAACATTGGGGTTTGGTACTTTTCTGTTGGCTACTTTCCTTACGATTTGTTACCCTTATTTTTGTTACAATTTTGTTATATTATGAGGGGCATGGTGGCTCAGAGGTTAAAGACGCTGAGCTTGTCAGCTGAAAAGCTGACAGCCCGGGTTCAAGACCCAAGTGCTGTGCAACGGGGTAAGCTTCCATCCTTGCCTCAGCTCCTGCATACCTAACAATTCAAAAGCCTGCAAATGCAAGTGGATAAATAGGTACCACTTCAGTGGGAAGGTAACAGCTTTCCGTGTGCCTTTGGCATATAGCCATGCTAGCCACATGACCACATAAAATGCCTTTGGAGAACACTGGCTCCCTTAGCCAAGAAACAAAGATGAGTACTGCCCCCTAGAGCCGGACATGACTGGATAGGGCCGTGGTGGGTGCCAGAGGTGGCACGCAGAGCCCTCTCTAAGGGCACGCACGGGGTTGCCCCAGCCCTTGGCCTTCAGCTGGGTTTTATAAAACCTTTTCACTTTAGGCCTCCGCTGCTGTGTGTCAAAAAAAAAAAAAAGGTTCAATCAATCAATCAATTTCAAATTCTCGTGGGAAAAAAAAAGTTCTTCCGTAGTTGGAATTGATTGATTGAACTTTTTAGTCCCACCCAGTCTGCCACTACCACCACAGCCACGCCCACCCAATGGGCCACTCCCACCCAATTGGCCACGCCCACCCAATGATACATAAGTGGGTTTTGGGTTGCAGTTTGGGCACTCGGTCTCTAAAAGGTTCGCCATCCCTGGGATAGGGGAATCCTTTATTTATTTTATTTATTTATTTTATTTTTCATAATTTATATGCCGCCCTTCTCCCCACGGGACTCAGGGCGGCTCACAGCATATTAAAATAACACAACACAAACAACACAACACAACATTTCCCCTATAA